GTTAAAAATTATTTTTTTATTTTGTACAAACAAAATAAATATATTGAAAAATATAAAAACAATAAAAAATTATACTTCAGAAGTTAATTTAGTATCAAAAACGTAAAATATTTGAATATCCGAAGACATAGCCAAAGATTACAGCACCACAGCACTGGCAAAAATTTAAATTTGTCGACTGGAATTCCTTCGGATAACCAACGTTTCGGATAAACGACGCTCTACTGTATTTCTTATATATTATCTTCTTATATTATTTCATACATAAATGTAATTATAAGTACAGTCAAACTTATATATAACAAAGTTGCTAAATCCTAAAAAAGTTAGTTATAGGGAAAGTTCATTATACAGAAATTACACGTTTTGGTAAATAATGAATAATTTTAACGTAATTTGTTCATTTTTTACATAACTTAAATTAATATAAATGTACACTAATATTAAAATTAAAACTATGTTTATATTACAAGTAAGTTTACATTTATATGTTAATATACTTACAACTTAGTTTAACTACATTTTTGTAAAAAAAAATTGTAATTTTTTTGTTGCACAGAAGAATTTAAAAAATGTTCTCTTCATAATATACTTTACACTTACTAACAGTATTAAAACTGCTTCATTTACATCGATGATGTAAATGCAGGTTTTAGCATATTTTTTGTAGGTCTCATATCAATGGCTAATTTCAAAATTGATTCGCGATTTGTTATTATGGTTGATAAACTATTCACATCAATTCCAAACTTTGCTACAATGTCTTTCTTTGTTGAGCCTTTATCAATTTCTTCCAACATGTTAATTTTTTTAGTAATGAATATTTATGTCAATTTTAGTAATGCTTAAACACAATATTAACAGTTCTTTAAATTCCAACTGGACAGCTTATTAAATAAAATAAAATTTCACTAACCTCCCAAATTAGTCCAGCAGTTGTCAAAATCATCATCTTTCTAATGTTTTTGATATTTGTTAATTGTAAATCATTTACAGTAATACCCTGAATTTACGCAATAGGTGGGACCGAGCGATAACCGAGTAAGTCAAATTCGCGTAAGTCGCGTAAATTATAATTATTAATTTAGATAAGAGATGGTGCCTAATGCTTATCTCTAGTACCAAATTTATTTGTATTTAATTACAGTGGTATCTCAGGATACGAAATTAATCCATTCCAAAACTTAGATCGTATCATGAAAATGTCATAAGGTGAATCATTTTTCCCCATACGATTACATGTAAAACCAAATAATTCATTCCAACATGAAAAACACACTCAAATTAAAGCTAAGTAGTACATTAAAAAAAACTATAGTAAGGAAAACACTGAAAAATGCATTTTGTAGTTGTAAATGTATAAATAACCATAATAGAATAACAATTTTTTTTGTTGAATTTTTCTGTCCGATGGCTGGATTATTATTAAATATATCAAAGACAAGTCTGTCCAAGAGGAATCACCATTTATTTTGCATTCCAGATTACACATACACATTAATGGCGACAGGCCTTCTTTTTTAGGCTTCATGCCGGCAAAAAGTAAAAAAAGTCCTTTAAAAAACACAAACATCCAATTAAAAATAAAAGGAATCGATGACACAGACGTCTTACTTCTCATCCATCTTGCCAATGGGTGGTTCTGCTTTATATCTACTAGAAAAAGCGCTGGAAGACGTAGGTTTTGAAGCTGCCCCCTGGCGATGATACATTTAAAAATTTCTTTTTGTTGAATTTTTCCATCCAATGGCTGGATTATTATTAAATATATCAAAGACAAGTCTGTCCAAGAGGAATCACCATTTATTTTGCATTCCAGACTACACATACACATTAATGGCGACAGGCCTTCCTTTTTAGGCTTCATGAAACAAAATAAATGGTGATTCCTCTTGGACAGACTTGTCTTTGATATATTTAAGAATAATAATTGATAAGAAAAATGTAGTTTTATTTGCACTTTACCTTTGAGGATAGACGACAGTGGAGGTGTAAACTGGTGGCGGAGGAGGGGGAGAAGGGAAGTGATACTAAAATCTGACTTACATAACATAATGTAACAATAACTTAAAAATAACTTAGAAAAGATAAAAAAATTAGTGTTGTTTTATATATATAATTTTTTTTAAATTTTTATTCACTGCTTTTTGCTTCCTTTCATTCACTTCCACCAGCACTTTCACTGGATAGAGGTCGCTTGGTAAAATATCTATCAAGAGGTTTTGCTTTGCCTACTTTTTAAAATGTTTTTAAAATGACTTAGGCAAATGTCATTACTCCAAGCAGCAATACAGCTAGTGTGAATCTTTTCAGGATGTTTCTTTTCAATCAGTCACTTTCTGATAATACCTCAAGATTTCCTTTATCGAGCGAGCTTCCACAACAAAGCAAACATGCGGACTGAGACCGATGAACAGAAGTAAATAAAAAATGACACTGCAAACTAATGTAATTGTATGGTGAGTTTTTGTTTGTATCGTGGAGCAAAAGTATGTTCGAATTTCATGTCGTATCCTGAAAATTTCGTATTCTGGGGCATTCGTATCCTTAGGTACCATTGTATTTGATTATAGCCATATTATAGCCCGAATATTTAGGCAATCATTGGATTATTATTTTGAAGTATTTTTTTATATTAAGAAAAATAATTTTTTAAATTTGAATGCCATTCCTCTCAAAGTAATATTTTCCTGTATTTATACAGCAATTTTACTGCTTACACCAGCCTCAAATGCTTCTTGGAAGTCAATGTTTTGAAAATTCTGAAGCACTTTGAAAATTTGAAGTGGATCTGACTATATTGAAATGCCATTTCTTGAGCTTCAGTTTCATTTTGGATAACAAAAGAAAAGTCACAACAGACTAAATTCGATGAGTAAGGAGGATGGAGGAAGAAATTTTTAATGCCAAGAACACTGGAATTTTGAAAGTTTTGTGTGAAAACATCATCATGATGAAGGAGACATATTTGGTTGCACTAGAGTTCTGGTCTGTTGAGACAAATGACATTCAAAATCAACTGAAAATGTTACAGTAAAAGTCTGCAACAAAAGTATCTAATTGGAAGGAAGAAATATCATCCCCTTACAATTAAAAAAAATGATCGACATGCTATTTGTCATGCTCCTTGCTCATCTTGCCTTCTTGGGTCTGAGATTGTGGTCTAATTCATGGCTTAAGCCTCCTGAAGCATTTCAAGAGTCTTTGTGGCAGAGTGGCAGATTTTCAGTTTAATATAAAATTTAATATTTGCTCAATTTTCAAGTTCATTCTTGAATCATAGCATGATACTAACACAATGTTACAAAATTACATGTAAATAATCTCCTCTATACACACTGTAAAATAAACGACTTACTTCAGCTGTAAACCAAAACAGTGCTTATTTCAAAATATTTTCACAAATGTTTTCGAACTTAGTTCTTCTTCAGGTGAATAAAATGGGTAGAATCGATGTTATTCAAAATCTGAATGCAATGTTCTAAGGAAACTCATGCAATCATCGTGTACATGTAGCAAACATTCTGGTTTGAAAAGCAATCTCATTTGGCAAGTCATCAATGCTTTAGACCAGGCATGGCCAACATACAGCCCGTGTAATGAATTTATGTGGCCTGCGATCAATCTTTCAATATTAATTACTCAAGTCTGAATAGCTCGATGAAAAATTCTGACGCCAAAAAAAAGAAGGAAAAAAACAGGTCAACAACTCACTATGCATTTAGAATTAACCCTTCATTACAAAGCTCTTAAGTACAGCGTAGAATGTTGATAAACCATGATAATGTGAAAAATGTATCTGTAATCTCTATCTACAATTTAGTCTCTACGGGGTGACATCGCAATGAGATCTTGCACTACCTCAAAATCTTCCTAGTTTTCTTTTTAATTCGGCCCGGAGGCAAAAACTGTTGGCCACCCCTGTTTTAGACATTTGACCATCAGTCAAATGTCTAAAGCATTGATTCTTGATGGTAAAAAGACTTCTTTGTGCTATTGCCAAATAGTGGAAATGGTCCACTTTCTTTGAAAATTACACCATATAATGATTTCAGAAACAAGTAGCAAAAGAAAAGATTGGTGTTCATTAAGATATTTCAAAATTAATTTTAATTTAATTTATAAAAATACAAACAAATTCTTACCTGTAAAGGAAGTTTAATAACATTTCTTTTTGTTTTTTTCAGAAACTGTTTAAGGGATCCACTTGACATATATTCGGTAATAAAAATAACTCTAGGTTTGTCCTCATCCTTGTCCATCCAATATTTATGGAACTTAACAATATTTGGATGTTCAAGTTGAGTTAGACTATCAAACACTTGACGTATTTTTTCCTGTAAAAATTAAGTAATATGTTAAATTCAATTTAGAAATATAAAATAATTCAGTTAAAATTGTGTATACGTAAGGAACCAAGTCCGAGCATTATTTTTAGTTACTTTTTATTTTGCTTTTTATTCTATTTTTTGTTTGGGGGCTTGTGTTTTGTTAGGACGAAAGTTTCCTCACCACTCACCTTAGAAACTTTAAAACAGAAAAAAGAAAAACCAACTCACCAACAAGAAAAAGCGCCATAGAAAAAAAAACTCGCACACACTTGCGCTCCCGAGCAAAAAAAAGTAAGTCTGCACTGAGAAGAGGGGAGACAGACTCCACAAGCACAACTTAGGAACTTGCTAAACTTTAACAAATAAAACATCCCGAAAATTGTCAAAAAGAATAATGTAAAAGGTTAGCGAATATTGTCGGAAAATAGACTGCCAGGCAAAAATGAAAAGTTCAATGTTAAAGTTAAGTATGTAAATGAGGGGAGTGGTCTCACTTAGAATTGTGACGTCATCTCACAGTATAAATCCTGTACCTCAAGCAAAGATGACCGAGGTGAGCTTCTATTAGCAATGAGCATGGTGAACTTCGTAGCAGTGAACGACAAGGTGTCCGATAGTGATAAAGGTGTTCCAAGGCAATTAAAAGTTATTTGATTTGTGGATCGAAGATTAGAAAGTCTTAAGAGTTGAGGAAAAAGGTTCCTAGTATATTGAGGTGATGGTTAGGACCTTAGTTCCTAAGAATTGTTGTACATAAGTTAAGTCTTTGAATTTTTGTCAAATTCCAAAGGGGAATAGATTTAAGTTAGCCAATAGATTTTGAGCTTTGTCGGGTTGATTCTTATTGTTGATTTTCTTTGAATAAATTGTTGGTTGATTGTTACTAGATTTTGTACATAGTCATTATTAGAATTATTAAATACTGTATAAGGTCTCTTTTTATGCAGATTATTTTTATGCGATTTTGAAGTTGTGCGGTTTGTATTTCATCCAAAAATTTCTTGGACAAACATACATATAGGCTTGTTTAGGAAGCCCGCGTATAGACAGTCTCCAAAAATCGTGGAACGCTCAAAGCTCACTCCATTTGTTCCACTGACATATAACATTTATGGATGTAAACGACAGCTAGATTTAACTTAATCGCTTTAGTTCCTAGCAATTTTTCATATAAATGTAATTAAACATAAAAAATACTTAAAACTGAAAAAAACGAAAGAAATGCATTAATTTTGAAGAAAAAGCTTCAAAGTTTAACTTCCTTTGTCTCGCCCTTCTGTGAAATTTAACACTGATGAGTCATTGTTTACACATCTGGATGACCTTGAACACAGCTGGAGTTGGATTTCCCGGGGCATT